CGGGTCCTCTATTTCTGTTTCTATCTTCATTTCTATATTTGTTTTTAATCGACTTCTTAACTTTTCGTAACTTACGTCCAAGGTAAATGATTATGATAGTGGACGAAACGAGAAAAAACAAATAAGCCATCGAAGAACCTACGGTCATTACTACTTTCCCGTATAGAAGCATTCCCAAAAGTGGTGTGAAAAACTTTAATATGGAAGTAGCGATCCCTAATCTGTCACATGAGGATTCCTCCTTTTTAGAAGATTTACTTTTGCCCTTTGTGTGAGGAAGAAGGGAGCGAAGTGGTTGCTTCTTGATTCTTTTGTCGATGTCTTCGAAAAAGTTGTCTATCAAATTGGATGATTCGCTTGTCTCGCCAAAGTCATTCCCCGTTTCTCCAGATGACTTCCTTCCCTGTGGGAACCTTGACATTCTACGATTTTGGTAATCCTGTTGTCCTTGAGATCTTTTAGCGGATGGCCCCATGCACATTCCTTCTTCGTCGCTATCAGTGTTGCTTGCCTGTGTGATTGTATCTCTGAAGTTTCCCTTTACACGTTTCTTTGTTGTCTTTGTAAATATCTCTTCGAATTCGTCTCCGTCGTAATAAAATTCAGACTTTTCCCCGTGCTGATAGTAAGCAAATTCTTGCCGGTTTTCATTGGCGCTTGCTCCAGAAGGGTAGTAACTCCTTCTCTGATAACAGTCTTGGATTTCATCCCGATAGTCTTCATCCTCATGGTCTTCATCTTCCTCATCCTCATCGTCATCATCCTCATCGTCATCATCCTCATTGTCATCATCCTCATCGTCACGACCCTCATGGTCACTGCCCTTCCTGTGATACATCCCATCATGGTTATCGTAGTCTTCTCCTTCACCGAAGGAGCAAAATATTCCTTTAAACTCCTTTTTTATTCCTGATGCCTTTAAAATTATCCGTGGTGAATTCTTTATATTCGTTAGCAAATAAGTTCATACTTTTTTTGATGCTGCCAAGTTTGACGTCGGCACAGCCTTCTTCTATGTTGTATTCGTCATACCAATTTTTGACCTTGGTGAAGAGCTTATCACCTGCCAAGTCTATCGGAATTTTTTCAGTCATCCGTCTGTATATTGCTTTCTCGGGCACATCTAA